AAATAAATACTGAATAACTGAACCTTATAAATTGTATATCTTAAATGTTTCTCACAATTATATCACATAAATTTTAAACTTAAGACCCAATCTAACTTTGTTATTTTTTAAATACACTACCTAACAGAATACTCCATTCGACTGAATGTACAGCAATGCATGCAACCATATGACTTGTCTTTGTAATACTCATTTGTGCTTTATTGTTATCTGTTTACAATAATGTTTTATCACTGATTACATCATTGCTTAGTTAATCTTAAGTTAATTTTAAGCCAGCCCATAATGCTATGCATACAAGTGGCTTTGGCATGCTGCTCTTACCTGTATTTTTTGTGCCTCTGTATGTATGTTCAAATTATTAAATAAATAAATAAATAAATTATCCCTAGTCTTTCTGTCCTCCAGTGTTGTCAGGTTAAGTTCCCTTATCCTCCCCTCATAGGACATGCTCCTTAGCTCAGGGACTGCTTTCATTGCAAACCCCTGCAAATTCTCCAATTTCTTGACGTGCTTGACCAGTTGTGTGTTCCGTACTGTTGCTGCATACTCAAGTATGGGCTGACGTACACAGTATGCAGGGTTTGCAGTATAGTGAATGATTCTTTAATTAGATATCTAAAAGCTAGTCTTGGGTATATCAGATGCGCATTTGCTGCAGCAGTTATTTGGTCGATGTGCACCACAGGTGATATACTTTGTGTAATACTCAGATTCAGAGTCAGATTCAAATTCATATTAGTATTTATTTCAGCATGATGCAGTGTTTGTACAGAAATGATGACATTTAGGTGTGCATGCAGAAAACCCCTTAGTATAAGAACATAAGAATGGAGGAACACTGCAGAAGGCCTACTGGCCCATACAAGGCAGGTCCTTATCAAAACCACCCCTTCCCAAAGCTACCCAAGATTTACCCCCATTCCCAAATGACACCAGTCAAACCCAGTTCCTCCCACTCATATATTTGTCCAATCTCTATTTGAAGGTACCCAAGGTCCTAGCCTCAATCATCCTGCTCAGATTGTTCCACGCATCCACAACTCTGTTCGAAAACCAGTACAGTGGAACCTTGAATTACGAGTTTAATCCGTTCCAGGAGCTAGCTCGTAACTCAATTTACTCGTATATCAAATTAATTTTCCTCATTTAAATTAATTGAAAAGCCATTAATTCATCCCTGCACTCTGGAGAGACGAGAAAAAATACAGTGGACTCCCGGTATTTGATATTAATCCGTTCCTGAGAGCTCATTGTATACCGGCGGAACATGTGAGCGTGGCTCAGGCCGCACATTGGACGAGTCTCGGACAAAGAGCGGTGAGCGGGTGTTTGGGTGGTGTGCGAGGCAAAATTTTTGCGAAATAAGCGAGCGGTATGCGGATTGTACGGTATGCGATGCGTGCGGTATGCGGGGGTCCACTGTACTAGTAGTAGTACGTATGCATGTATGTGGTGAGGGGCTCTTGATCTAGGGAATTTGTTCTGTTCTCTGGGTCCCTAAATTAATAATAATAATAATAATAATAATAATAATAATAATAATAATTTATTATTATAATAATACGTACTAATAATGATAATACATAATAATTATTACGTATAATATAATAATAATATAATATATAATAATACAGTGGAACGTCAAAAATCGAACTTAATCCGTTCCAGGAGCTAGTTCTAAATTTGAAAAGTCTGAAATTCGAAGCAATATTTCCCATAAGAAATAATGGAAATACAATTAATCCGTTCCAGAAGTTGGGTTTAGTGTTTGGAAGGAGAATCCCCCTCCATGAGGACTTCAGGTAAAGCCCTCTCTGGGGTTACTTCCCTTCTCTGTCTTTTAATGCCACTAGGACCAGCTTGAAAGTCACTGGACCCCTGTCTCACAAAATAACTGTCCACAGTCCTCTGTTTCTGGCACCTCTTTAACATTTCCCTAAAATGGGACATGGTTCTGTCACTGAACTTGTTGCAAAGATGGCTTGTTTCAGCTTGCTCAGGGTGGTACTTCTGCACAAACATTTGGACATCATTCCACTTGGCACAAATCTCCTTAATCTTTGAAGAAGGCACCTCATCCACTCCCTCTTCCTCCTCCTCTGAAGCAAGGTCCTCAGCTGTGGTCTGATACTGCTCCAGATGAAGCTCTTGCAGCTCTTCAGTGGCTCGGTGGCCTGGTGGCTAAAGCTCCCGCTTCACACACGGAGGGCCCGGGTTCGATTCCCGGCGGGTGGAAACATTTCGACACATTTCCTTACACCTATTGTCCTGTTCACCTAGCAGCAATTAGGTACCTGGGTGTTAGTCGACTGGTGTGGGTCGCATCCTGGGGGACAAGATTTGAGGACCCCAATGGAAATAAGTTAGTCCTCGATGACACACTGACTTTCTTGGGTTATCCTGGGTGGCTAACCCTCCGGGGTTAAAAATCCGAACGAAATCTTATCTTATCTTATCTTAGCTCTTCCCTGTGGTCCTCCATCAACTCTTCCACATCATCACCACTCACCTCCAACCCCAGGGTGTTCCCCAATGCCACAGCAGAGTCCACAACAGGCAGAGGGTGAGCTGGGTCAGGGTCAGCCTCAAACCCTTCAAAATCCCTCTTTTGGACACAATCTGGCCACAATTGTCTCCAAGCAGAGTTCAAAGTCCTGGAAGTCACTCCCTCCCAAGCTTTACCTATAAGGCTTATGGAGTTGTAGATGTTGAAGTGATTCCTCCAGAACTCTCTTAGGGTCAACTTAGTGTCTGTGGTCACTTCAAAGCACTTTTCAAACACTGCTTTAATGTAGAGTTTTTTGAAGTTAGAAATGACCTGCTGGTCCATGGGCTGGAGGAGAGGAGTGGTGTTAGGAGGCAAGAACTTCACTTTTATAAAACTGAAGTTCTTAGACAAGAGGTCTAATAAGTTTGGAGGATGAGCAGGAGCATTGTCCATTAACAGGAGGCACTTGAGTGGCAATTTCTTTTCCTGGAGGTATTTTATCGCACTGGGGCCAAACACTTCATGGACCCACTCTTTGAAAATTTGTCTTGTGACCCATGCCTTATGATTAGCTTTCTACAAGACACATAACTTGTTCTTAAAGACATTGCTTTTCTTAAACACTCTGGGATTTTCTGAATGATACACAAGTAAAGGCTTCACTTTAAAATCACCACTAGCATTAGCACAGAACAAAAGAGTAAGCCTGTCTTTCATAGGCTTGTGTCCTGGCAGTGCCTTTTCCTCCTGTGTGATGAAGGTCCTTTTTGGCATTTTCTTCCAAAACAGGCCTGTTTCGTCACAAATAAACACTTGTTGAGGTTTCAATTCTTCACTGTCTATGTACCCCTTAAGCTCCTGTACAAACTTCTCAGCCACCCGTTTGTCTGAACTGGCTGCCTCACCATGTCTTACAACATTGTGTATGCCACTACGCTTCTTAAATCTGTCAAACCAGCCTCTGCTGGCCTTAAATTCACTTTCAGCACTGGCTCCAGGAGTTTTCTGTACCAGATCTGCATGCAACTTCCTTGCCTTTTCGCAGATAATCGTCTCTGAAACACTATCACCTGCAATCTCTTTATCCTTGATCCACACCAGTAACAACTTCTCAACCTCTTCAACTATTTGTGGTCTTTCTTTGGTTAGCATATTAACACCTTTCGCAACATCAGCTTCCTTGATTTGTTCTTTCTTTGACAGGATAGAACCGATGGTCGACTTGTTTTTCCCATACATCCTGGCAAGCTCAACAAGTCTCACACCATTCTCATACTTCTGTATTATTTCCTTCTTCACATCTATGGTGTTTCTCACTTTCTTTACCACAGGGGTACCACTAGCAAGTTTCTTTGGGCCCATGGCAGCTTATTTCACAGTCCCACAAGCACTAAACATAACTAAATAATCGTAAAATGCATGAATGAGAGCGCAGGTTAGTGTTCACTCAAGCATAAACAAAGCTAGACTGCTCACAGCGCCTGCGCGGGGACGCGAACAGAGCGGGCCGGCAGACAGGTCCCATACCCAGCGGTCCGAAAATAGGGGCACGTTCGATAATAGGGACACAGTTTGTCCGAAAAAATGGTCCTATTTTCGAAACGTTCGATATGTGATACGTTTGATTTTTGAGGTTCCACTGTAATATAATAATACAGTGGACCCCCGGTTAACGATATTTTTTCATTCCAGAAGTATGTTCAGGTGCCAGTACTGACCGAATTTGTTCCCATAAGGAATATTGTGAAGTAGATTAGTCCATTTCAGACCCCCAAATATACATGTACAAACGCGCTTACATAAATACACTTACATAATTGGTCGCATTGGGAGGCGATCGTTAAGCGGGGGTCCACTGTACATGCATATAATATAATACATACAATAATAATTATAATAATAATAGTACATGTATGTATGTACTGTGTATAATTTAGTTTGACAACACCACCATCAGACAGCATTGTCAATCAAAACAGTGGTCACCAGTGCACATGTGCTTACGGAGTTACCCTTGCGGTGCAAGGAATTCTCATGATTTCCTTATGTTTTGTGCAGTTAATTCGCCAGATTTCTTTCTTCTGACCATGTGTCCTAAGAAAGCAAGTGCAATGGACAGAAGAAGAGGATGATTTGCATGGAATTAAAGCAAGAAATGATTAATAAGCACAGACTAGGTACTAGGGTTGAGGACTTAGCGGGTTGAGTACAAGCGTAGCCCCTCTACTATATGTACAATACTAAAGCAGAAGGAGTCTATAAAGGCTATAGCGCCAGCAAAGGGCGTTACAGTAATTTCTAAACAGTGGACCCCTGTCAATGAAAGGATGGAAAAGCTGCTGTTCACATGGTTGACAGAGAAACAGCTCACAGGAGATACCTAGTATAGTGAGATAAACATAAAAATTGTACATAACAGTTCTTAAGATTATTATTATTATTACAATCAAGGGGGAAGCGCTAAACCCATAGGATTATACAGCGCCTGGGGGGGGGGGAGGTATTCAGGCTTAATTCGGGGAACTGGAGCACAGATCCAATTCCCTAAATCAAGAGCCCCTCATCATCATCAAGGAGCCTTCCTAGAAGGGCAGTTCTTAAGAAAAGTGTGAACTGACAGGATATGCCACTCTGCATTTCTTCTCCAAGGTACGTAAATGCCGTATGTACACCAGATCTAATTCAGTTAGCCTCACAAACTCTGTTTTCTCTTATAACACCTCTGACGTTTTCATAGCGAGAATGCGCGACCACTCCTGACCACAATCCTCCTTCCTCTGCTGTCCATTTAATGACATATTTTATTAATTCTAGAGTGTATATCAGGTTTCTATGTTATTTATATTGTTTATTATGTCATATTAGATGAATTGTAACAGATAATAAGCATAGAGTTGATATTAGGGTTATTTGTCATGCCTCCCGAGAGCAGGAATTCAGCTGGAACGAATTAATTGCATTTCAGTTAATTTAAATGAGGAAAATTTACCCAGCATGCGAACAAATCAGGATACAAACAAGTCCACGGAATGGATTAAATTTGTAACCCGAGGTTCCACTGTAGTATCTTCCCATGTTCTTACTGTAAGAGAAAATGGAGTATTTTTGAGGCTAACTGCAGTAGATCACAAGGACCCATGGTTAGAAAAAAGAAATTTGGCCAAATGACTTTAAAAAAAATGTAAACAAGCATGAGAGAACTGCCCCCACAGGGATGTAAACATATTTACTGCTTACCTGCTGTGCCAACTAGCAGAAGCAATCTGAATTATTATTACGTACATATTATGCATTTAATAATAATAATAATAATAATAATAATAATAATAATTATTTTTTTTTATTTAGCACACTGGCCGATTCCCACCAAGGCAGGGTGGCCCGAAAAAGAAAAACTTTCACCATCATTCACTCCATCACTGTCTTGCCAGAAGGGTGCTTTACACTACAGTTTTTAAACTGCAACATTAACACCCCCCGTCTGGAGTGCAGGCACTGTACTTCCCATCTCCAGGACTCAAGTCCGGCCTGCCGGTTTCCCTGAATCCCTTCATAAATGTTACTTTGCTCACACTCCAACAGCACGTCAAGTATTAAAAACCATTTGTCTCCATTCACTCCTATCAAACACGCTCACACATGCCGCTGGAAGTCCAAGCCCTTTGCACACAAAACCTCCTTTACTCCCTTCCTCCACACTTTCTAGGCTGACCCCTACCCCGCCTTCCTTCCACTACAGACTGATACACTCTTGAAGTCATTCTGTTTCGCTCCATTCTCTCTACATGTCCGAACCACCTCAACAACCCTTCCTCAGCCCTCTGGACAACAGTTTTGGCAATCCCGCGCCTCCTCCTAACTTCCAAACTACGAATTCTCTGCATTATATTCACACCACACATTGCCCTCAGACATGACATCTCCACTGCCTCCAGCCTTCTCCTCGCTGCAACATTCATCACCCATGCTTCACACCCATATAAGTGTTGGTAAAACTATACTCTCATACAACTATACTCTCATACATTCCCCTCTTTGCCTCCAAGGACAAAGTTCTTTGTCTCCACAGACTCCTAAGTGCACCGCTCATCTTTTCCCTTCATCAATTCTATGATTCACTCATCTTTCATAGTCCCATCTGCTGACACGTCCACTCCCAAATATCTGAATACATTCACCTCCTCCATACTCTCTCCCTCCAATCTGATATCTAATCTTTCATCACCTAATGTTTTTGTATCCTCATAACCTTACTCTTTCCTGTATTCACTTTTAATTTTCTTCTTTACATACCCTACCAAATTCATCCACCAACCTCTGCAACTTCTTTTCAGAATCTCCCAAGAGCACAGTGTCATCAGCAAAGGGCAACTGTGACAACTCCCACCTTAGGTGTGCTTCTTTATCTTTTAACTCCACACTCTTGCCAAGACCCTCGCATTTACTTCCTTACAACCCCATCTATAAATATATTAAACAACCACAGTGACATCAACACATCCTTGTCTAAGGCCTACTTTTACCGGGAAATGATCTCCCTCTTTCTACATACTCTAACTTGAGCCTCACTATCCGTAAAAACTCTTCACTGCTTTCAGTAACCTACCTCCTATACCATACACTGCAACATCTGCACACTGCCCCCCTATCCACCCTGTCATACGCCTTTTCCAAATCCATAAATGCCACAAAAACCTCTTTAGCCTTATCTAAATACTGTTCACTTATATGTTTCACTGTAAACACCTGGTCCACACACCCCCTACCTTTCCTAAAGCCTCCTTGTTCATCTGCTATCCTATTCTTCGTCTTACTCCTAATTCTTTCAATAATAACTACCATACACTTTACCAGGTATACTCAACATACTTATCCCCCTATAATTTTTGCACTCTCTTTTGTCCCCTTTGCCTTTATACAAAGGAACTATGCATGCTCTCTGCCAATCCCTAGGTACCTTACCCTCTTCCATACATTTATTAAATATTAGCACCAACCACTCCAAAACTATATCCCCACCTGCTTTTAACATTTCTATCTTTATCCTATCAATCCCAGCTGCCTTACCCCATTTCATTTTAGCTACTGCCTCACGAACTTCCCCCACACTCACAACTGACTCTTCCTCACTCCTACAAGATGTTATTCCTCCTTGCCCTATACATGAAATCACAGCTTCCCTATCTTCATCAATATTTAGCAGTTCCTCAAAATATTCCCTCCATCTTCCCAATACCTCTAACTCTCCATTTAATAACTCTCCTCTCCTATTTTTAACTGATACATCTATTTGTTCTCTAGGCTTCCTCAACTTGTTAATCTCACTCCAAAACTTCTTATTTTCAACAAAATTTGTTGATAACATCTCACCCACTCTCTCATTTGCTTTCTTTTTACATTGCTTCACCATTCTCTTAACCTCTTTCTTTTTCTCCATATACTCTTCCCTCATTGCATCACTTCTACTTTGTAAAAACTTCTCATATGCTAACTTTTTCTCCCTTACTACTCTCTTTACATCATCATTCCACCAGTCTTTTATCTACCAATACATAATCCAACAAACTACTGTCATTTTGCCCTACATCATATCTTGTATACTTATTTATCCTCTTTTTCTTAAAATATGTATTACCTATAACTAAACTCCTTTCTATACAAAGTTCAATCAAAGGGCTTCCATTATCATTTGCACCTAGCACCATTGTCATTTGCACCTGGCACCCCAAAATTACCTACCACACCCTCTCTAAAAGTTTCTCCTACTTTAGCATTCAGATCCCCTACCACAATTACTCTCTCACTTGGTTCAAAGGTTCCTATACATTCACTTAACATCTCCCAAAATCTCTTTCTCTCCTCTACATTATTATTATTAGTATTATATTATTATTTTTATTATTATTAATTTAGGGAACTGAAGCTCTATCATTATTATAAAAATACAGTAGACTGCCATTGAAGAATTACTGCACAATTTTAAGTAACATATCGCATAATTAATTTAACATGGTTCAGTAACTCACATGTGTCCAGTCTTTCTCTCCTACAAGGCAGCTGTGTTTGTCAGTTGTGTTATGATATTTTAATGACTATATCTTGTATCTGCCAAGCAATCATGACACCCAGTAGCCATACCAGTGTTGCTGAAAGTGGCACAAAGAGGTATAAGCACTAAAGTCTTAGAATTAACAAAGATATTAGATAAGAGATAACCTGTAGCCATAACTGAAGTGTTACTTTGTACACAGAAAAAGAGGTTAACGTGAGTTTGTGTGACTGACTGAATGATTGACTTACTGAATGACTGAGTGACCTGACTAACTTACTGAGTGACTTGACTAATTTACTGAATGACTTGACTGACTTACTGAATGACCTGACTGACTGAATGAATGACTTGACTGACTTATTGAGTGACTTGACTTACTGAATGGCTTGACTTACTGAGTGACTTGACTGACTTACTGAGTGACTTGACTGACTTACTGAATGACTTGACTGACTTACTGAATGACTTGACTGACTTATTGAGTGACTTGACTGACTTACTGAGTGACTTGACTGACTTATTGAATGACTTGACTGACTTATTGAATGACTTGACTGACTTACTGAATGACTTGACTGACTTACTGAGTGAATTGACTGACTTATTGAGTGACTTGGCTGACTTATTGAGTGAGTTGACTGACTTACTGAGTGACTTGACTGACTTATTGAGTGACTTGACTGACTTACTGAATGACTTGACTGACTTACTGAGTGACTTGACTGACTTATTGAATGACTTGACTGACTTACTGAATGACTTCAGTGACTTACAGAGTGACTTGACTGACAGACAGACTGACTGAATGACCTGACTGACTTACTGAGTGACTTGACTGTAATAGTATTATTATATTATTATTATATTATTATTGCTGAGAAGAAAAAAAGAATGATTTCCATGGAATTAAAGCATGAAATCATATATAAACAAGCTAGGTGTCCAGGTTTTGGGTTGGGGGAAGAGGGAAGGAGGAGCTGGCTCGTAACTCAAATGTTGGTTCATAACTCAGAGCAAAAAAATCAACGGCTCGTATCTCAAAAAGTTCGTAAGTTGGGACACTCGTAAATCAAGGTTCCACTGTATATGGATTAAGATTATTATTAAAACTAAAAATGTATGAGGCTCTAGGTATACTAAGATTCAGTCAAAAAGTTAACTCTTTAGCACCTGATTTAGTACCTTTGTTAGCACCTAATTTGCTAAGTAACATACACTTTTAAGGATATGGTAAAACATGCACTTATAACAATATGGTAAATAATCACTTACGACAAATAGTCAGACAAGAGGAACAGGGTATGTTGCACTATACTAAAGCACTATACATGGTTGATGTTATGTTGAGATGCAGCTTAACAAGATTCAGTCAGAGTAGTGCATGTGAGGAAATGTGCTAGGTTTTGTTTATTTCTTATTTCAAACCTGCCACCCGAGTCTGATAATTTTACCATAATTAGTGTAAAACACTGTTTGATTACTACATTGTTATTACGTTTAAGTTTTTGAAGTCTGTAAAGTAGGTTCTGTCGCTCTCTAGTTAGGCACTCATTAAGATAGACATTACTCTTTTTCTTGATGGAGGAACTTATTAGGTCCTTTTCTACATCAATGGAATTGAATCTTAACACTCTGCTTTTGACCCAGCCTGCCTAGCAGTTGGGCCTCCTTGATATAGGTAGTTTCAATGTTAATATGTATATCATCTTTTATTAAATGAAGTGCTTTGTTGGTCATAATGTTCAAATAGGCATCACCTGTTCTGCTCTCAAACATAATGTAGAAGGTTTTGACAATATTAAGTGTAATTTTATTGACACTCATCCAGGTTAATATTTTTACTGGCTCTTCATTAACATTAGTGTTGATTGAGGCAAGATTAGAGTGGGAGATGACATAAGTCATGTCATCAGCAAAGAGAATAGGTCTAGGTTGTTGTGATATGTTTGGAAGATCGTTGATGTATAAGAGGAAGAGCAGCGGGTTAAGTACACTTCCTGTAGTACTCCAGTATCCAGTGATCTTGTTGAAGAGGTTGTCTCCTTAATAGAGATGTATTGATGTCTGTTAGTAAGGTAGGATTTGATATATGTTTGAGCATGGCCTCTTATACCATAGTGATCAAGTTTGTGGAGTAGGATGCTGTGGTCTGTATCAAAAGCTTTCCTAAGTCAATAAAGAGTCCTAGTGGATATTCATTTTTTCAAGTGCTGTGTAAAGCAGGTCTAGCATTTTTACAATTGCGTCATTTGTACTTTTGCTTTTCCTGAAGCCAGATTGGCAAGGGTTGAGGATGCGTTGCACTGGTATAAAGGAGTATAATCTCTTGTGTATGAGTTTCTGAAGATTTTGGATATCAGTGGTAAGTTTGATATTGCCCAGTAGTTGCTTACATCTTTGGGGTCACCACCTTTGTGTATTGGTGTGACCCTTGCTATCTAAGTTTCATTCTTCTATGTGCATGTTATTTATGTATTGTACCAGTCACAGTATTGTGCCTTGTAATTCTTTATGGTAGTAGTATTGTCATGATGAAAGAGCAGACACAGTATTGGTAATGATCATTCTGTTTCAGTCTTCAGGTTAGAGAAAACAATCGGCTTAGATGAATCATTAAGGAGGGGGAGCTGCTTTTAAAAAAAGAAGATTAAACATTTTGGGGAATAACTTTTTTTTTTTTAAATATCTAGATCTAGAACTTATTGTATATATCTGATGATAAATATGTAATAATGTAATTCATATTTTCAGATTAAGTTTCACTAAAAGCATCGGCCATGGGATTGGAGGACATAGTGTCTGTCCTGGAGACATACAGAGGCCGGGAGAAAACTATGCGTACACTGCAGTATGGCTTGCTCTTTGTTACTCACTAGCCAAACAAAATGTTAGGTAGGATCACTAGTTGTATAGTTGTATTTTAATGTGTATTTTTTATGAAGAGGAAGAATATATTTCTCTTTTTATCTCCTACTCCTCATGGAAGTATTGCTGCTTCAGTGTTCATTATTATGCACTGTTACTGTCACCACTGCAAGTGTAACAGTAACTTCTACCACGTCATCTGCTACTATTATTGCTGTAACAAGTAACATATATCCTGGACCATAACCTGACCCTCTGTATAGGTCAGTTCCTAACATTTTGCCAAAACTTTCTTAATTTTTTGTACATCTCTTGTATAATTTTACCTTAGTTTTTGAAGACTTAAAGGTTTAACCCTTTGACTGTTTTGGTTGTATATATACATCTTACGAGCCAGTGTTTCGGACGTATATATACTCAATAATTCTAGCGGCTTCAAATCAAGCAGGAGAAAGCTGGTAGGCCCACATGTGAGAGAATGGGTCTGTGTGGTCAGTGTGCACCATATAAAAAAATCCTGCAGCACACAGTGCATAATGAGAGGAAAAAAGCTCTGACCATTTTTTTGGATTAAAACGTCGACTTTGAGGTGTATTTTCGTATAGTATTTATCGTTGTATTCTTGCTTTCATGGTCTCACATGATAAAATGGAAAACATATTACAGAAATAGAGATGATTTTGAAATTGAGCTCAAAGTAGCGGAAATGTTCGATTTTTACGATGTTCAAGAGTAAGCAAATCACACCACATGTCCAATTCATGTAAACTGGGGAGTCTGATATTCTTTCACTAGTGCACTGATTTATTTATACCATTTTTACAATAATGCAGTAGCCTGCATAAAATAATCTTCTATTTTTTGTATGAATAAAAAAAAAAAATAGAAAGCAATATAAGATGGGCCTAGAGATGTGACTAATGATATGTTATTTTAGTGCCAAGAAGGTCTACATTGTTTTATTTTGGACCCTATTTTTAAAATGGCATCCTTTCTACTTTGTGTGAAATTGGCCAAATTGCCAATTTCTGACCACTTTATTGGGTAGTTCAAATCAGTAAATGGGAGATTTCTTGTACTCAACTGATAGAAAAAATGGAGTTCTGAAGAAATAGCTATGAGTTTGGTCAGCTGGAACAACGGAATTGACCAAAAATAGGGCTCAAAGTCGGCAAAATCGCCGATGCGTATGTGTTAGCGCCGAGACTACTAACTTAGCGGGAGTGTAATTCCGTGAGTTTTCAACCAAATTTCATACTTTTGGTGCCATTACCATCAGGAAAAGATTCTCTATCATTTCATAAGAAAAAATAATTTTTTTTTTCCAAAAATTTTTTGACATAGAATGACAGTTTCAGAAAGGGGCTTGCGACAGTCAAAGGGTTAAGTGGTTCTAGTGTGGAAAATACTTTACCTGAAGGAATGATCGCAGATGATGTGATGTTCTTGAGTGTGGGTACTGCTTGCTGCTCATCCCCTGGGATGGAAACTGTCGTCTTGCTGACCACAAAGTGGAGCCAAGTGTGGCACTTTGATAACATTGAACACAACAGTAAGATTACCCGCATCCCTTGTGTGTTGAAGAATCTGTTGAGATGATAGATTCAACAAAACTAGGTCCACATGAAAATTAAGTCACCTTGCACTGTTCTTTTATTTTGTTGAGAAGTCACAGATGAGATGGGGGGAGGTGTAGGCAATCTAAGAAAGTGGAGCTCTTGTGTCTTATATAGAATCTTGCAGTCCTCCCTCTCCCTCTCTCTCTCTCTCTCTCTCTCTCTCTCTCTCTCTCTCTCTCTCTCTCTCTCTCTCTCTCTCTCTCTGTCTCTGTCTCTGTCTCTGTCTCTGTCTCTGTCTCTGTCTCTCTGTCTCTGTCTCTCTCTCTCTCTGTCTCTCTCTCTCTGTCTCTCTGTCTCTGTCTCTCTCTCTGTCTCTTTTTTTTTTATACAGGGTTTGACAAGGTTAAGGATCCCTAGCTTTATTGACAAGCTATTTACAGGTTAAGGATTCCTAACTTTATTGGCAAGCTAAGAGCTGTTACCTACATCAGCTCATTTGAAAGCATTTTTATTGTTATTAGACATACAAGTAGGGAACAGGATGAAATTCGAACCATCTGTGGGCCAGCATTTTCATTTGATCAACTGACTTTATCTCGTTGACATCATTATGCTGTACGAATGTGTTCCATACTCGAGTCATCCTGGGTATATATGATCTCAGATGGAGTGATGTTCTGGAGAAGGGTACAGCCAGAGTGAAGTTGCTGCTTTCTGCCCGTCTTGTGGCATAAAAGCTTGTTTCACGCTGTCCTCGAAGTGGATCCAAGTGTGGTACTTTGACAATATTGGCCTTGTACATAACAGTAAGGCCACCCACATCCCTCCTATGTTGAAGGCTCTGCTGAAATGACAGATCTATCCAGGATAGGTCCAGGCGAGAGATGAGACGTCTTGCTCTGTTCTCTACTCTGTCAAGCAGTCGCAGATGAGAGGGGGGGGGGGCAGGCAAACCAAGAAAGTGGGGCATACTCAAGGTTTTGAGCATTTCTTGTGCCTCGTATAGAATCTTGCAACCCTACTGTCAAGCAGATGCGAGATACGGCAAAGTGCTTTAAGCTTCCTGGCTGCCTTGTTTGCAAGATTTACAACATGGTTCTTCATGGTTAGTTTGGAGTCAAATTTCACCCCAAGGATATCAACTTCTTCTCCAGGTGCCAACACCCTCCCATTCATCCTTACTACTGCACCAGCATTACCATCATGGTGCCTAGAGACAATCATCATTTGCATTTTCTCAGGTGCAAATGTTACTTGCCATCTATTTCCCCAAGCTGATATAGCTCTTAGCTGGTGATTGATGTAGCTCTCTCTGTCTCTCCTCTCTCTCTCTCTCTCTCTCTCTCTCCTCTCTCTCTCTCTTCTCTTCTCTCTCTCTCATCTCTCTCTCTCTCTTCTCTCTCTCTTGTGTGTCTGTCTCTCTCTCTGTGTCTGTCTTTTCCTCTCTCTCTGTGTCTGTGTCTGTCTGTCTGTCTGTCTCTCTCTGTCTGTCTGTCTCTCTCTCTCTCTCCTCTCTCTCTTCTCTCTCCCCCTCTCTATGTCTGTCTCTCTCTCTCTGTGTCTGTCTCTCTCTCTGTGTCTGTCTCTCTCTGTCTGTCTCTGTCTGTCTGTCTGTCTCTCTCTCTCTCTCTCTCTGTCTCAGTCTCTGTCTGTCTGTCTGTGTCTGTGTCTGTGTCTGTCTCTGTCTCTCTGTCTTTCTTTCTTTCTTTCTTTCTTTGACAACTAACAGAACTAAGTTACCACTTGATACAATACCATTTCATTCCTGCTCTGTGACCAAGCATGTGTAAACAGCTTGATGACAGCAGTCAGTCAGTAACATTAACTGGCAGAGTCTGTTAATGAAAGTCTTGCTATTAATTTGTGTGTTTGCACACTCCTGCAAAAGAATCATAGCCTTTGCAATAAACATTGCCCTTGAAAAACCAAACAGTTCACTACAAAAAGACTAAAAAAACCCTGGCTAACCCACAGTTCCTCAGATCCATTGGCACAAAGCTGAACTATGAGAAACAGTTCAGGCTGGGATTAATATCCAAAGAAGAGTAAAAAATTATACATCAGCACTCACCAATTAGAAAATTGAAGATTCATACTTATTATAATAATAATAATAATTGCAATTTTTTATCATTGAATATAATAAAAATTATGTACAGTAGGGTCCCACTTATACGGCGGGTTAGGTTCCAGGCTGTCGCCGGAAAGCAGACATCGCCGGAAGGCAGAACGCCATTTTTCTCCATTTATAAATGCATATAAATGCCAGACAACACGTTTACACTAAATTATATTAAGTTAGTAATAGAACCAGGCATTAAAAACACACAAAGTAAAATACATTCACAGTAAATTCATTACTTATCTTAAAGTATTTGTAATCTTAATGTAGGGACAGAGGTGAGTAGTACTTATTTGTAGGAAGTCAGGTGCAGGTAGCCCAGGTGTAGGTAGCCCTGGCTCCCCGTCTCATACTTAACCCCTTCAGGGTCCAAAGCCAAAATCTGAAGTGGTGCTCCAGTGTCCAAGAAATTTTGAAAAAAAAAAAAATTATTTTTTCTTACAGAATTAAAGAGTATATTTTTGTGAAGGTAATAACACAAAAAAAATTGTTCTGATCAGTACTTACCGAGATACAGCGGCGGGAAGTTGACCCAAAATGACTGGGTGGCTGCACCATCAGTGACTTCTGCAAAATCCCATTTTTTTATTTTATGTTTTTTATACTTTTTTCTTTTCTTTTCTAATTTTTTTCTTCTAATAACATTTGTGGCCTGTGAGACCAGTATAATGTATATTGTATAAGTGTACACTCATTGTATTCAACACAATAACTGCACTAATTTGTTTATCATTATTTTGCTTACAAACTTGTTTACAAGTTTATTGTAAACAAAATGATGAAAATATTAGTGTGGTTATTGTGATGAATACAACGGTACCATATAGTACCATATGGTACAATGGTGCCATAGGGTGCAATTGTACCATATGGTACAATGGCAACATATGATACAATGGTTCATATGGTAAAAATGGCACTTGATACAATGGTACCATATGGTACAATGGCACCATTTGGTACAATGGTACCATATGATACAAGGGTACCATATGGTACAATGGTGCCATATGGTGTAATGGTACCATATGGTACCATATGATGCAATGGCACCATATAGTACATTGTACCATACAGTACAATGATACCATATGGTTCATTGTAAACCCTATGGTACTGTTGTATTCAAAAACAATAAACACACTAATATTTTCATTATTTTGTTTACAATAATTGTTTACAACAAAAATATGCAAAAATGTTGTATATTAGTAATGTTCTATTATACATTTACAAGTGTACAGGAACTTGACATGTTCCTTGAGGTGGATGACAAAGCACTTTGTCTCGGAAACTGCGGAGTCAGTAGCTAGCTTGTGTCGCCACTCACTCAGTCTTGGCTGGTG